ATAGTTACATGTCCGCCTGCTTCATGAAGGTTGCCCACTGTGTGTATATCGTTATGATTGTACATGTAAGCACAGATTAGGGATGCACCAATTCCAATTCCTAGAATTGGTCGGAATTAGTTGGAATTGAAATTGAAATTGGTCGGAATTGGTCTGAAAAATATTGGTAAATCACTGATAATTTGTCGAAATATGTGTAAAATCGTTGGTTTACAAAAACCAATTTCGATCAATTCCAATTCCAATTCCAATTCCAATTCCAATTCCAAACCAATTCTAATTCCAATTTCAGCCAATTCTAACCAATTCCACCAATTTCAAGTCAAGAATTGGAATTGGAATTGGTTGGAATTGAAATTGGTGCATCCCTAGTACAGATGGTGAATCCTACTGTTACCGAAAATAAAAATGTCGAAAGAAAAAAATCGTACAGTAAAAATATCGAATATAGAAATGCTGAAAAAGTAGATATCGGTATATAAAAATGTCGAATGGTAAATAAATATATACATATCAAAATCGTACGTGTAAATATTTTGCTAAATTTGTTTATACGACATACGTATCTTTGTTCATTTTGTTTAACAAAGAATTGTTTCTGTCCAGAATGGGTGACGTAATCAACCAATAACAATCATTTTGAGATCAGTATACATTATGAATTGATCGATGGTATCATCTTCGTTTTGATTATTACGTTTTCTTGTTTCCATAGTCTACTTCAGTAATTTCAAACATCAGAACGATCATCGTAATAAATAGTTTGACAATTTTACTTTCGATACTTTTACTATTCGAGATTTTGATATTTTGATATTATTACTTTTCGTTATTTATACTTCTACTTTTTTACTTTCGACGTTTTTCTTTCGACATTTTTTTCTTTCAGCGTTAGTAGGGTAAATCGCACAGATCAGCATATCAGACAGATGAACATCTGTTTGCTTATATGGTGAAGTATCATTTTTTCTTGTGCAACATTTGTACCCATACTCACGGAGACCTCCTCTTACCTGTGAATTGAACGCAAAAGATGAAATGAAATGATGACTGAATGCCTATATCATACTATTGTGCATACTTGAAAATAAAAACAACAGTCGCTGATTTTGTCGCATAATACGCTGTTTCTATGTTCACTTCATCTGTTGCTGACAGAAAGAGCGAAAGAAAAAGAGAAAAAAAACGATTCTGCAAGTAATAAAAGTAACCGAGTTCGATTGCTGACTGCCTCAATAATCAATCACTCAAAGTTGTGCGAGCTCAACACGTTGACATCAGCGAAGAGAATTGATGTTGAAGAGAGCATGAGTAATAGTAGTCGATGATGAGGAGAACAGTCGCTTTTTTTAAATAAATTTTATCGTGCAATATTCAGATTGATACGTTTAAAAATAATAGAAGATATAAAGAGCCAAACGAGAAAAAGAATAATATGAACAAGGTTGTGGATAAGCAGATAGTGATCAGAACATGACAGTTTTTGAACAATGAGTTTTTATTCCCTTGACTGAAGGGAGAGTCATATGAACTAAAACGAATTTGTGCTTGACTGTGTCCTTGAGCATGTAAGCTCACGTGTCCACAAGCATATGCGTAAATTTAGAGTAGGAGTGTGAGTTGTGGATGTACAGGTGTGATGCAGACACTTCAATGTGAGTGTATGGATGTGGTTGTCAGGAGTTTTTAATGTCTTGGGTGTGGGCATGCAAGATGTGTGGTATGATCTTTAGATACGAGTGTCTGTGTTAGTGTTCGGATGTGGTAGTCGGAGTGTTTTTATGTGAATGTGATGACGTGATTTAGGCGTGAGTTGTGTGTTTAAGTGTAGACGCGGATGTGAGGTTGCTCATCTGGGCAAGAATATCTGTGTGAAGTGAGTGTTGGCGTTAGTAGGTGAGTTGTATGTGAGCACGTTGGATATGTTTGTGTCGCTGTGGGTGTTTGGATGCGGTTGTCAGATGTTTCGCATGTGCCGAGTATGGGTGTGGATTGTTGATGTGATTTTTGCTATTGAAGAAGATGTACATCTTCATTGTCAAGAAAAAATTACTGATATGAATGAATTAATTTTTTTTGCGTTAGTTTTCATCTGTATTTTGTATCAATTTAATATGACAGCCAATGCTTCACGATTAGCCTGTTCCTCACAAGATGATAATTGCCGTTTAGAGACAGTTATTAATAATGCTGATTCATGTTTTGTTGTATTATGAATTCAGCTTTTTTCTAATACCAATTTGCCCTTTTCTCATTTAGAACCTATGTTTATAGAGAAAATGATGAGCCAAATGAGTTAATTACAAAAAAAAACTCTCAAAATTGACAAAAACAATGGATCACCTAACAATTCCATTATTATCCACGTATAATTTTTTCTTTTTTGACTTGATAGATTTTTCTTGTTTGAGTTCTTTTCACTTTCAGAAAAGCGATCAATTATCATCTTATCGTGATGAAAACGATAAAGAAAGTTATCCCAATGAAGTTGTAAGCATACTTTACGATCGAACTTCTATTTCATCTTTCTATATTGTTATTGCAAAGCTAGGGAATGGTAAAAATTTATTAAAAATTATTGCTCGAGACATTAGTGATTGTGGGAGAAAACTTGTGGGTATTTTGTTTACAGAAGATGAATTACAATCTAGTATTTTGACATCGTACGGCGCAAATCTTTATATAAAAAAGATGCGTTCGATGAAAATCGTTCCAAATTTTGAAACTTAAGTTGATAAAGCATGTAGCCGTCGAAAATGTCAATTCAGTAAGCGGTTATAAATATTTAGAACCAGTTTTCCTTTAAGAAACATGTAAATAGAATTGTCATGTATGTCATTTTATCATCTCCGCCTTAAGGCCTCCATCCCTTAGAAAATCCATTTTTTGGTAAAATAATCAAAGTCGAGTTTTTATCGCAGAAAGATGCAGCGAAGTTTCCTCTTTCAGAATATATATAAATTTTAAAAAAAGGCCAAATTTTTCCATACTTTCGTAGGAGATTTCCACCTCACTGCCCGGTTTTTGGAATTTTTGGGAAGACTACTTTTTTACTTATATCATATAGTATGACGTGTAGTGCTAGCTTACGCCATCTACTGCGTGCTTTCAAAAATTTCACATAAATATTATCAATATACCATTATTTCCTGCATTTGAATGAAAAAATCCACTTGTAAAACTTCTTTAGCGTTTTTCTCAAAACATAGTTTCTAATCAGGAAAATTGGAATCACTCCTTCATTTCTCGAGCTAGAACTAATTCTTTTTTGTTGTAAATGTCTCAACGAGAGTAAACTTTTCATCAACCAGTTTTTTTTAATTCGAATCCTGGGCTGAGAAAAGTGGGATTTACTGTAGTCGGATCACCGTTTTTTATGCTTATTTTAAAACATGTCTACCAAAATATTCATAAAAAATCAATAACATGTAATTTAAAAATTCTGTCTGGTAAAAAGTTGAGTACTGACATTGACTTTAATTTGAAACCAACCCGAGCTCTGTACCTTGTACTATGACGGAGTGATGTCGATTTTCCTGAAGGCCAAAAATGACCTATGATTCAGCTGAAACTCCGGTCTGGTAAGACCAATCGCGTTGAAACGTTTACCAGAGGAGTATCTCTTTAGGGTCCCTCATCCCTGAAATTTTCAGCTCAAAAGACCTATTCTGGGAAATCATTTCTAAGGTGTGTGGGGGGGGGGGGGCTTAAAAGTAACCACTTTACTTTCTAACTTTCAGAAAGCGTAGGCATGATGCTTAACCAAATTGAAAGCTATCTGTCCCTTCGATTTATCATTCCTCCCTACATCGAAAAAGAACACTACTGAATTTGTTAAAATGCGATATATGTCAACTATCGATTATCGGCAGATAATTATTCTCATTATTATATAAATACATTACGTGTGAAATTGAGTTGATATTTCTATGATAAAGAAGCGAGACAAACGAAGCATAAAAAGAAACGAGCAAAAAAGTAGTATTAGACGGACAGCTACAGCAATCACAACTTCAAGGAACAGCAACAGTAAGTTCAACTCCGACTACTCAATTATCGTTTGTAGTTACACAACATATTCATAATTTCTATACATATTGTTGACAAAAATGATTATCCATGTCGATTAATATTTGTATTGTGTTTTTCTTGTTTGAAACGTTCTCTGAAGCCTTGTTTTCGTCATACGAATTTGCACATCTTGAAAGTACTTCTTGTTTACTATTTCTATATATTAATGCCTTTCGTGTGATTTTTAGCGGGATGTTTCGCTTAATCCTTGTATTTTATTTTGCGTAGTTCTCGTCTGTGTCTGTAGATACTTATGATGAAAATAAACATTTCATAACATTAGTACATACTATATGTTGGGAAAAAATAAACAATAAATGATGAGATCATGATGGTACAGAATGAGAAAATGGTTATTCCCCTGCTTACCATTTTTCATTGAAAACGGCCTTAAATGATATCGTTTACATTCGGAGGATAAACGGCTCATAATCCAAGCTGGCGGAAAGTGGTCAAAAATATTGTTTGTTCTCCATCGTTTACGGCAAGAATCACTTCGTTTTTCCACCGTTTCAGACAGTTTAAGGCATTGTTTTCGACGATCGGAGTGATAGACCTGAAATAACATATTGCTCAAAAGCATGTACTAAAGAAACAGATTTTATTATTAAAAGAAAAATCTATTCTCAAATTAACTGAATAGTCATGAATTCACCTCTTCAGTCACTATTTCTTAAAATATACCATATTTATCAAGTAAAGTGAAAGGCCTTCTATTCAGATGACATTACGTAGATGATGTTTTGACAATCATAAGAAACAATGTAAATACTAAAAAAGATCATTGAAATTCTAAACACCTTTGATCTAAACATAAGTTTCACATATAATGAAGAAAGGAACCATTTTCTATCATTTCTTGATACACTTATTACAAAAACACCAGTTAATAATTTATGAAATCATTCTAAATTATTCACTGCGACTGTCTAAAGAAAATCACCATATATTGGTTTAATAGCTACATATGATTCATTTGTTTCACACTCACATAAAGTCAGCATTGTATGTAACATGGCATACAGAACAATAAAAATATGATCTACACATAGATTGATGCATGAAGAATTTCATTTCATTGAGAAAATCCAATGGAAAATTGACTATTCGATTAATTTCATAAGTGTATAAATAATAAAAATATTAGGCAGATATACGACAAAATGCATAGAACTCAAATACTGTCTTCGAAAACAAAATCAAAAATATCTATCGAATACTTAGTGGAAAAGAAGAACTAAATATTCATTGATATGCCATTTGTCAGAAAGCCAACTGATATACTTTAAAGCTCTTAGATATAAAAGGAATTTTAATCTAACATTGTTTATAAAATTAAATATTCTAATTATGAAGCTTTATACATATGTAAAATAGTAGGAGAAGCCTCCATAAGATTCTGTGAACTTAATGCTAATCTAAAAAAAAGAGAAACATCTAGATCTTCCCATCCTATTACCTCCAACATTTAATTCTGGTAATTCAAGTAGATAAAACAGAACTAAACGAACACAAATGCCAACATTATCCTAAAGAAGAAGAGATCAAAACGCTATAATCATCAAATATACTGAACCGATTGGCAAATCATCACAAACGACATAAAACAACATGAATTATTAGTAAGAAAATTCACAGTCATTGCTGTTCATCAACCTAAACTGAATAGAACTGTTGGTTCTATACCAGTCATGATATATCCGAAGGAACTACAACAAAAATATCAAAAGTCAAGATGAAACAGTGATTGATGCATTACCACGAAGCCAGATGATCAGAATTATGACGGCTCAAAATACTGATTTCATCTATTGTAGAGATTTTTGAAAGGTTTCTGGTTGGAAGCAACAAATATAAGCTCACTTTTTTCGTTCTGAAAACCATATTTACCGTTGAAATCACTATCGTATGTATTGATAATGATAGCATAATTGTCGAAATATTGACATAGAAAATCACACTTACGTCTTAATAAAATTCTTTATTCAATTATAAAATCAAAATTCCATTAAATAATCAAACGCTTAAATTCTATTTAATGATTCAAAAGTAAAAAAACTGCTGCAAAATTTATAATATTTATTCTTAAATTGTTAGCGAAAAGAAAAGAAAATAACAATCACATTTTTAATTAAGAAAGAAAATGAATAGCATATCAAATCATTTACATTGTTCATGAAAAATTAGTTCTAAGAGAAGTTTGCTTTCGCTTAAGGCTGTCAGAAGAGCGCTGGACTGTTCTCGGCAAAATATTCATGGTTATCGGCGTTCATCACTGCTTCCGTTATCTTGCTCTTGGCTAGAGTTTTGGCTCCAATTTGACCATATTGGTAATCATTTGTGTCAGCTACACTTATGAAGTGTGAGAGTTCGTGAATAAGTGCGCCAGCCTTTGAATCAGTACCTGCCGTTGGAGCCGGCCAGAAAACAGAACATAAATGGATTATGTATTGCTGGTCCTTGTAAACGTAGGCATAAGTGCCTTTCATGCTGGGCAAGGGACATGCACAGTCGAAAGTTATAGCTTCCGAAGTAAGCACTCTTTTTACCTCTTTGTAGTGACTCTTTATCTTATTCCAGTTCTCCAACGTGTATTTACCAAACCAATTCGTGTAGCGGTTTGTTCCAGATGGTTTCATCACATTCATATACTTGAAAGCATTATCAGCATAGCTAACAGCTGAAGATACTGCAGAAATAATCTGGGATTTCTGGCCTGGCCAACAAGCACTATAACGATGAATGGCTGCTCTTTTACGTAAATTCATAATCTTATTTTGTTGACGTTGGATATTAGGACGACCTTCAATTGTCAATTCCATGTCATTCGACTGTATATCAGTTTGAAGAGACCTAATGGACTTGACAAGGATACTCCTCAATGAACGAGGATGCTTGAAGGTAACACGTTCAGTTGGCATATTGTATTTGATTCCATACTTGCAAGTCTTACTCATGTCATATGCTGATGATAGTCGAACGGAAGTAGCTATAGTTTTTCCAGGTGCTAGAGGAATCACATCATTAATGGTCGGTGCACCTCGTTTGGCCAATGGACCAATATACTTAACTGGAACATCATTACAGGTTACTTTGAATAGTGGATGTTCTAATTCTTGGTCTGGTAAAGACCATTTATGAATATAGATTGTTTCGTTACCAGTGTTGTGGTATAGCATGTTGATCACTACGTGATCTGTTGCACTAAACATTGAACGTCCAGAAACTAGTTTAACGACTAAATCATCTGCATAGACGTTAACCACCATCATTGCAATTGCAATGTATAAAAGGATATGTCTATGATTCATAGTTATTCAACGTTTTTCAATATATGTGTACGTTAATAGTTTGTTTGTGTATGCACAAAAAAGATGCTACATTGTTTTTATATACGAGATGAAGTACGACACTATCAAGGTAGAATTGTCCCATTTTTTTTTCGATTGATTTCTCACGTTAATCATACATATTGTCCCATAACTTGCCACGATATTATGTGTCATTGGGAATGTAACTTGATCAAGGATAATACCCGCTCGTATTACAATACATACACTGGAAAGGTAACTAATACGCGCAATGGTAATTGATGCATAGTGTAAACAAGCAGAGGAGAAAATATGACGCATGGTATATGCTCAAGCAAGAGTAATAGCCTATAAGCAAAAAATTAGCATCTGACGAGAGAACATTTCCAAGTGATACCAACCATTCGGGCTCACATTTTTCTCATAAGTAGGATCCACTGAGACTAGAAAAATTCTAAAATATTTCGTTCTATTAGACCTATCTTTTAAAGTTATGAACGTTTTACTGGATTTTCGGCATTAGGTAAGGAATTTGTAGAAAAATCGAATGATGGAATTTCGGGCTAAAATTTTCCCTAACAATAGGTCTCATTGATTTTAGAACATAGTAAAACTTTCAGTTAAAACTGATTCTTCCTTCTCGAGATATTGCATATTGAAGAAAAGTCAATTTCACAATATTTTTTTCGAAAATGATCGTTTTCTTCAATATGTAATATCTCTATAAAGTAGAATCAGTTTTAACTGAAAGTTTTACTATGTTCTAAAATCAATGAGACCTATTGTTAGGGAAAATTTCACCCTGAAATTCCATCATTCGATTTTTCTACAAATTCCTTACGTAGGGCCGATAATTCAGTAGAACGGTTATCACTTTAAAAGACAGGTCTAATGGAACGAAATATTTTAGAATTTTTCTAGTGTCAGTGGATTCTGCTTTTGACCAAAATGTGATCCCAAATGGTTGGTATCACTTGGAAATGTTCTCTCGTGAGGTGAATTAGAGACTGCTATTCATCATATGCATGAATTATTTAGACTTGGACCTTTCATCATTCGAACCAGAGATATTTATGATGGATCTATGACTATTGTGTATAAGACAATTATGATAACAAATAATTGTTTGCATACTGACCAAAAATGATCATTTATTTATTTACATTTATTATGTTAACAATAGTGATGATGTGTAAATGATAATATTTTTCTTCAATGTATTTAAAACACATGAGAAGCAAAAGACGTTATTTGAATATACAAGCAACGCCGTCGAAAGATAAACCGACGACTGAATAACATCATGGATTCAGCACATCCTGATTTTTGCCGTTTTTTGAGTATTCTTCAAACAGAACAATTGTATGTAGGTGAGGAGTTGTTAGATTTTCCAGAAGATAATATAGAAAAATTGAAAGCCATTTCTCATTCGTTTATGTTATAATTGTTCATTGATTCGCTCAGGTTGATTTATTTTTTTATTTTTTATCTATTGTACTTTTTTTTCTGTATTAAATGACGTTCATTTTTTGAACAAAAAATATTTATTTGCACATAAAAGGTTTTTACACAGAATTATGTTGCATACAGTTCTCTGCATACAAATATCTTACACACAATTGCTTTTTGTACACAACTGTGTTACGCACAGTAGTCATGCTTCCATTTGTGGCATCTCTATATTATGCCTCTTGTTGTCTGTGACCTTTGTTAATTCATCTTCATTTTTGAAAAGGTCGACGATATAATTCTTCGTATTATGATGAAGATTGCCGATGTGTGCACTGCATACTCATATCCAAGACGTACACCCGTCCTTCACACTAAAGAGGATATTCCAGTGATATTGGCGGATGTTACCAGAGAATTCACTGAGAAATTAGACTTAAAATAGATATCATATTTTAGTGGTGTATTAAAACAAAAAAATATATACTTGTGTGACAATAGACCAGAATCAGTGAGAAGCTAGCAAAACACAACAAGCATGACAGAATTCTATTTTTGACAGAATCAATCAATATGAACGCCTGAATGCGTTCGACACTTGGAATTGGAGTAGAAGATATGGAATTGAATTCTGTGTGGACTATGATTGCAATGACAAGCTAGACTTACTTCAGAGGAAAAAAAAACTGTTTCTTAAATCATGGTTTATCACCGTATGATAACATTATCATGGAAAAAATGTGTTTTTCGTTTTTGATTCCCAAAATATGTTCGATCATCCAGATTGGGTAGATCAAATATACAACGGAATTTTATATTGAATCAGATCTCACTGACAAGCTTGAGTTGCTTGTTACGATAAAAGACTTTTCTTTAATGATTTTACATCTTTGCTTTTCAGACAATATCAAGAAAAACAGTTTGTTGTCTCAGCATGTATATGTGTTCGAACGTCTAGAATAAATGTATCAGATACAGAGTTTAGTGCTGCATTGAAAGATTTTCTACTTTAAAATCGGATATACTTGCTTCAAATGAAGTATCTCTCTTTCTTATTGATCTAGGAGCTTGCTATTTTTATTGTACAATTGAAGATAAGATGTCTTTACAACGAACAATGTGTCCAAAGGAATTTTGTTTACATGTAATCGATGAAAAGTACAAGGTTGAATGTACCACAATGCACGATTTTTGCTAGTCCTTTATGATGAGAGAAGATGTGTTGTTTTCGTAACTTATGTCTTTTGTATTATGCACATTTTCCTCATTGTAGTTGAGGTATTTCATGTATTGGTAGCAGTTATAGGATCGAAGTATTGATAGGTTCCTGGAAAAATGATACTAGGTAGTTGAGGGATAAATTTCACCAATGTTCATAAATCATTTATGCAAAAGATCGGTGTTTTCTACTCTTTTTTTAGCAATTCTTAGATTGTTTTCGTGAAAAAATAAAGAGAACAATATCAACTATAGCTGTGCAAGTGAAACGTTTTGTTTTTTGCAGTTGAGTATTAAGATGTCGATTATGTTACGAACTAGCATGGAACTAACCCGAACTCAAGTTCGGAGTTCGGATCGAATGTTTCGGGGTTCGGGTTCGAGTTTGGATTGGAATTTTTAATTCGGATCGATTTTCATTGATTACTGCCTTATAATGAATGAATAACATATAATAATTTTTTTATCGATTATAGTCGGTTGGGCAGCAGATATTCAGGACACATGGCAATTAGTAGCGCAGAGATACCAATTTCGTATGAATACTTGAGGACATTTTTTTTAATATCCGCTTGTAGTAAAAACAAAGATCTACATGTTTTCACTATTGTATCATTATTCATTTAAAATAATAATAATTAAATTTCGATATGATCTGTTTTTCTGTAATATATGCGATTGTCCTAATGTATATTTGATATATTCTGATTAACTCTTGATAGAAACACGTTAGAGTTGTGGTTTTCATAGTTTGAAAGAGATGATGAAGATGCATCGAGCCATGTATTGCTTATGTTTTTTTAATCAATTTTCTAAGTGTCTTGAGACTGGTTTCACACAAGAACGAAAACAGCAAAAAACGTTTTACCGTAATCGCCAGAACTATTACTTAAAGCTTCGACTAGGACACCTATAACTTCTGCATAATTAGTTCAAAATCTCTGAGCCTTGTGCAGTTTTGTAGATCTTCCATCGACGATTTAAATACATTTCTGATAATTCAGAATTCACTGTAGACACTTCATTGGTAGACTTTTTCAAAGATATCGATTGGAAACCTTTAAAATAATCATGCCAAAAGACCCATGATATATCACTCGATGTATCCTCATCTCCTCTTGCGAACAATGAAAAGAACAGCTCTACTTTGTTTCTGTGAAAAGTTATTCAAAAAAATATCAAACAGGCATTAGTATAAGCAGCATATATATTAGAACAAAAAATCTTATTGAAATTTCCTTATTATGATACTAGATGAATAATGATCGAATAGTGTTGAAATGTAGGGATTTTTTTTTACTACACATCTATATAAAAGGAAGAAAACTTTCTCAGACAATATATACGAAATTGAGTTACCTACGCCACCACTTTTGATATGACCTAAGAATAATAATGGAAAAGATTTTTTGTTGTATAGCTGAAAAAGACCGGTTTAGTGGGATTAAAATCGAAGTAGTTCACTATTGTTCGTCTTGAAAATTTTCTGGAGTTGAGTTATTTTCATCTTGAGAAAAGGAAACCAAGTAACGGGTGAATATGAATTTTTAGAAAGACATATTTGAGATAAAGCCTTGGACACATTCGACGACTACCACTCTCCTCCTGAATAGAAAATCCTCTTAAATAAATGAAGTAAAAGTATATTAGAAGACCTTGTCTCGAGAGCATCAACTTTTTAAATTAATTCTTGGTGGTTATTGAATTATTGTAACACTGAATTTCATTATAATATATAGATTTAGTATGGACAATGTTTTGCTTGTCGCGAGAGTGAGTTGTAAGTTTCGAGTTATAAAAGTCTTGGCCAACAGCTAGTACGAGACAATAGACTATTTCAGAATGTGTTTCTTGACTGGAAACATATTTTGAAAGCAACTTAGTGTTTCTTTCGAGTTTAATCTGAAGAAAGTCATTGTGTGGTGTATATGGAAAGAGTTCTCGTGTTCATAAAGTCCAAAAGACGCAATACATACTCCTGCGCATAATACGCAAAGTGAAATTCGTAAAATAGTAACATATTAGATATACGTCCGTTGTACATATATTAATTAAAGCTTTCTTCAACATTGGCTTTCTTTTAGAAATTTTGGTAAACTTTTATCACGAAACATTCTTTCAGAATTAAAGAGAACACAACTTCATGTAAATATGTTGAAATTTGTTCTGCAAATACTTCTTATGAGTCTGAAAATGCTTTT